GCTACCTTAAATCCTTTCTAAAGCAAAGTAAAATGTAAAAGAAAAAAAAGTTCTCATTAAATTCAGAATAAAAACAAAATGCAGTTGCTCAGGAAAATGTCTTTAAAGTTGCTTAAATCTATTTTAAAATTAAGCGTTAAAAGAGGAAAACTTAAGAGTCAACATTTTCTTTCAAAATTTCATGCCCGTTTTTATGTGACTGGCCTGATGATAGGAGGAAGGAACTGAATACCACCAAAACATTAATAATGCCTTTATATAGTTGTAAACTTCTACAGTATCAAATATTCAATTATACTATTTTCCTTTGATCACAGAGTTAAGCTTCTTGAATTTTGAGGTGAGATGAGGTAAGAGGTGAGGGAAAAATAGAAAATATTTTTTGAATAAACATTTCTTTTACTATTTAGATATTGGTACTTTTCCAGAGATTTTTACTTATGGGTTTAAGAATAAAAACACAAAACACTAAGCCATAAATCTCACCCTTTTTCTTTGTTTTTTGAGTAACTCAAAATTTATAACTGTTTCTCATCAATATCATAAATGATATTTCCTTTCAGCTTTACAGAAATGTTTAAGGCCATAACAGAACTTCCAACATCTTCTGAAAAAGTGATATTAAGAACTGTCAAAATACACAAAAAGTATAAGAAAATTTAAATTAAACCAAACTCAACTTGAAGAATGAAAAGGAACAGATTGTTTTTATAGAGTTTGCCAGACCAATTTAGAAAACAAAATGGTTTTAGAACGTTGTGACTATTCAGATGGTATTCCTAAAAATTCTCCCTAGATATGCCAATAATAATCTTAAAAATTCAGAACTAATGTACAGAGTTGTATAATGTAAGAGTAAAATTATATATAGCGGGTTCTGAGTGCAACTCGCTGGTTGAAAGAGTGAAGGGAAATCCTAACGCCACTGTTTCAGCAGTCTTCGTATCTTACCTTCCCAGTGAGGCCTGTTACCCAATTCAACACTGAAATCTCTATACCCAGCAATCCTGAGTTTCCTTACCTCTGTTTCTTCTGTAGCATGCATTACCTTACATATAGTATGTTGTCTATTTTCCCTTGCTAGAATGTAGGCTCCATGAAGGCAAGGTCCTGCTGTTCACCCACTTGTATTCCATGCATCTAAAACAGTGTCTGACACATATCTGGTGCTCAGTAACTACTGAATAGCTTGTAGTTTAGAGTTTATTGTATCATGTCGTTTAAAGATGTCATATTTCATTTTACTTCATTCTTAACTCCCTCTTGTAGCTCAAGAAAACCTTCCCTGATCTTTCCAAAACATTGTTAAACTCAAGATGCAACTTAACACTGTGATAACAAATTGTCCCTAAGTATCAGTCTAAATAGTTTATTTCTTGTTCATGCTAATGTCTGACAAGTTTAGTGTGGCAGAAGGGAGAATTTGAGGGAGTTCTGCTCCAATGTCACTCAAGACTGGCTGAGAGCGCTACACCATCTAGAACAAGCAAAATCCCTAATCAGAGTAGTAAGAGAAGAGAGAAACTGGATGGTACAGTAAAGTTTTTCATTACCCTTACAGAAAGCAGAGTGTCACACTACTTTCTGTATTACATTACAATGAACTAGTTACATAGGCCTCATTCAACTGCAAGGCGGTGGAAATCTGGGGGAGCATAATGTTTGATAATCATTATCACATGCACCTCTCTTCACAGCTTGTGTCACATTTTACAATTATTTTTGTAAATTATGTTTCCTCTTCTGTAAACTCTTCAAGGGCAGGGACAGTGTGTGTTTGTTTTGAATACTAATGTATTCCAAACCTGTATATACAGCAGGGACTTGATATTTGTTGGATGAATAAAAAGTTTAAAACCAAACAGTCAAAATAATTAACCTTTTTAATTTTTTTAAGGAAAAATACTCTCCATAGGAAGGCATTTCCATTTTTTGTCCATCAGTAGCCAAATGGTACTCATAAACACTTCCAGTATGCCAACTTTGGTTTAATGCACAACTTTGAAAATAACTTATAAAAGCACACATCAAGATGCTACTAACAAATTCATTAATATCCAAGATTCATTACTGTATGTCAAAGGTCATCCAGGATTAACATTTTCATTACAATGAACTGTGCAATTCCAATGAAAAATGTTTGCCTGAATTATTTAATCTCTCAAATTGGAAGTCTAGCATTCTTGAAAATCAAATTCACACACACACACACACACACACACACACACACACACACACACACTTAAAACTGCACATGAGGACATGATGGCAATTTAATGGAAAAAGAAAATAGAAACTGAAAGGGTATCATTTGGACAACTAGATAGAGTAGGCAGAAAATCCTAAAGATGTACATTTAAAAAAAGCCAATAAATGATAGGCTACAGAAAAACACACAAACATTTGATGAATTTCACTGCAGCAAACAGACTTGGCAAACTGAAACACTAGAACTATGACTACAAGCCTTGCTCCATTCCACACAAATAAAATCTCTAACCATTATAAGGACAGATGAGAAACCGCATGCAACAGAGGAAATATAAATTATTTTTAATTTAAAAAAATAAAAAATATAAATCCTTGTTAAACACTTGATTTAAAAATATGCAGCTTTATTTTTAAATGTAGTTATGCTCAAATATGGCAGTTTACTTATACGTAAAAGTTTTTAAAATATCAATAGATTGATTTATAAGTTATATACTGCCCTCAGCTAAATACTTTTCACCAAAACTCTCAAATAACTGTTAAAAAGAGTTGCATGATTTTATAAGCCCATCATAATTACTAAAGACAGTAAGTTTCAGAGCTAAACGTGAACCATTAATGAAATATTTTTTGATGTGATAAAAGTCACATGAGCATTTGAATTTAAAGACAACTAATAAGCCAACAGTAGCCTTTTTTTTTGGAGGGGGGCAGGTGTTGATTTGCTCTAAATTGAGCAACTGTTTGGGAACTACAAAAGCTGAAAAGTTCAAACTATAAGGAAGTGGAAAGGTGATGAAGTTTACTAATACAGTGTTTCACACATTCTATTTAACCTGGAATTCCAAATGGAAATGTTTAAGATGCTTTATGAAGAGAAACGTCTACAATGTATTAGGCTTGTCTGTGCTAAACAAATGTTACTTTTATTTACTTACAGATGTATCATCTTAATACCAACACTATTTAAACATTCACGATTAACCCACTGAAGTGGAAAGGACTTTCAATAACTGCATGTAATCTGCATCTGTGGCATTAGAAAGTAATCAAATCACAGTCCATTTTCTGATGAATGGAACATCCTACAAATCCATGACAGATATACTAAGCTAAAAGGCTTTGAGATTATTTACAGTATACATTTCATGTTTTAAAAATATACATGGATATACAGAAAAAATGATTGTATAGTCACTAATATATTAATAATGGCTATGTCTCCTGGTGGTAGGATTATGAGTGATTATTTTACTGTTGTTGTGATGGGGAAGTAGTCTCAAAATATCTAGCTTAAGAACCAGAGTACTACCACCAAAGCAAACTATTTTGTCCTTTCTTGTCTTCACATTACAATCTTTTTAAAGCTACCAACCAACATGAATTTGTCTGACTGGCCACCCACATTCCAATATATGTATTAAAGGAAGATCTCTTGAAAGATGGAAAAATAGCAAGATTATGGTCATAAAATAACTTGCTCTCAAAAACTGGTAAGCGACAATCATTAGCCTCTCTATAGCTACATATAATTAATTCTATAGGAAAGTCAGCTCCAACATTTCATCTTTAAAAGTTTTTTTCCATCATTCTGTTTTCCTAGTTTTCAGGTACTGTCCTTAGAACAGTTTGGACTGAATATTCTTGTTTCCATTCACAAACATTTCTCTGCACTGGCAACAGCACTGCTAATCATAAGCTATACTCAAGCCATTTAAGACTAAGCTTTAGATGTATTATCTGGCAAAAATAGCTTTAGATCTAATTATCTGGCAAAAATAAAAGAACTAAGAGTTTCATATTAGCAGCAAAATAACTAGATTTAAGGGTCTTGATTTTTTTCATAAGCCTTTGGAAGCCTGCATATTAAACACTGGTGAGTTTTAAATTCTCAATGGAAATGGTGATGGCATTTACTGAACCAAGCCAGCTCATACTACAACTTACTGAGGACATGATATAAAAACAAAACTAGCACATTTCTATTTTTCAAACATCACCAAAATATCTTCTTATAATTTTAGACTCCAGTAGTTTTCAACCATATGTATACCTAAGATACCTAAAAATGTGTGTACACATACACTTCATATTTTACATTATTGCACATTTTTCATTTTTTAAAAAATCACATGGAGAAAATGTAAACGTGAAAGTTAATCCCACTGTAACATTAAGTCTATTTTTTAAACACTTGTACAAACTACACTTTCACTTATTACCTTACTATGCTTTGCTGAAAGGATATGCTTTAGTCTTCAAGTTTTTAAGAATATTAGAAACATGGTTAAATTCAAGTACAAAAAGTCCTTCAGATTATTCTGAAATACCAATTTTTATATGGCACAAGTCATGATGAGTTGATGAAGTTTTTCCATATGCTAATGGCAGAGTATAGAATTATAAAGAAAAGCCACACAATTGAAATCTAAAGTAGCAAATCCATTCTGGGGAATTATCTTCAAACAACTGGCTTAATAAAACAAAAATATGCACAATTTTCCAAGAATCTTGAACTTTTTCAGGACTAGAATGCTATTTAATGTGCTTATACAATTTATGAAGTGATGATTAAAGCCCTAGAAGTAAATGCTTTTCCTAAACATGAGTAGACAGATACTCTATTCCTAAGCTAACAAAGGCCATGCTTTTTTAATAGTAGGCTTTGAAGGGCAGCAGGAAGAAAAATTGAAAACTTTTTATTCACATTTGGCTGCCCATTAATTAAAAGTTCAATGGATTTAAGCAATTTGAATTATAAATTCTCATTTAATAAAACACCCACACAATGACAAGAATGAGACTTTAATCAGTTTTAAGTGGAGTTTATAACACTAAGAGATAAAGGGTTGTTAACAAACACAATAACAAATGGACATCTGATTGGTATGAGGCATTATCCTGTACACATCATATTGGTATTTTTGTGTATCCTCAGTGCATAGCATTTACACACAGAGCCACTGCTGCACAGCACAAGAGTATCTGAAGAGGCTGAATCAGAGTAAGGCTGTTTAACAGACTGAAATTTTTTAGTATATATATTCTATATGAAAACAGGTTGAACTTTTGAACTGGCAGGTAGAAGGCAACTCTGCCAAACACTACAGTTAAAGCCCCCACGTTAGTGCACAGTTCCACCCCTTCCATCTGCATGCATGACACATTAACAGTATTTAAAGGTAAACGAGGCACTTTGTGGCAACCACAGCCATCGTTATGAACATATTGCACAAAATTTCTAGAACTAAACATTTAACTTGTACCCTACTTTTATTTTTTAAAGCTGAAACATTTGATGCTGCCAGTAAACTCCACTTAAGTTTATAACCTGTGCCACAGCAAAGAATGGTGATGCTATTTATTCAACTATCCTTTTTCAAAAGTATGGGAAACATGTTCAAGAGGAGCTACAAAGGACTTGGGATGGTACAGGGCCCAATTGTAAGCTTTCTTAAAAGTGATGCCTTCAAGTAACTTCAGACATGTAAGCTGCTGCACATCCAAAAAGTCTAAGAAAACATTCCAGAAACTCAGAGATTACCTACAGAATGCATTTCAGGCTAATTATGAATACTGTCATAAATAAAGTTTTAATTAGGACTCGAAAACCTTTCAGTCATAGCAATTCTTGTCAAACTCTATGGGGATGGTAACTGAAATAAAGTAAGGAGAGTATGTATAATATATATTTATATATATAATATATATAATGCCATTTTTCCATTTCCAATGACTACACCATAAAATGTAAGCAAGGCTTCTCAAAAACATTGAAACATTCAAAATCAAAACCCTCATTCAGACCTTCACATTCCAAAGGAAAAATAATAACAGTGCAAAAGCCCATTATAATGTCATTATTTATGACCTCGCCCTCCATGTTACATATTGGAACAATAAAAGTTATGTTTTAATATGCAGTGCCCAAAATTGTAACAAAAAATAGTATTAATAACTATCTTCAAAACATCAATTTTCATTTTAGGTAACAACTTTGTTTTTATGAAAGACAAGGTGGCATATAAATTTTAATGGTGAAGTGTTAGGAATAGTTGTCTCTAACTTTACCAATTTAACTTATGAGCAATCAATCAATATATACCAACGTTTAAATATAAATGTGTAAATCCTAAGAGCTTTGTTAAAAATGTAAAAATTTTTGCATGAAACTGACGAGGTATGGAAAACATGTCAACATTATTTACTAAGAATATTTTAGATGAAGTTCTGCCTAATCTATTTGCCATCAAACTCTATAAATGCTTCTCTAGTAGGTTCTATTCAATCTGTATTTGTAAATTAACTAGGTCAGACCACAGCTAGTGAACAATTTCAGCACCAATAAGTTATTGAAAATGAAATTTTATACCATTAAGAAATATAATGGCTGGATATTCAAATGTCAAGGTGAAGGTATAATTTGAAGACAACAAATTTCTGGAAAAAAATCCTTTTTAATAGTATCTTCACATTAGCTTTACAATAGTAGTTGTACTCCACTTAAAATCGTATGCAGTCTGGGCATATCAAATATATGATGATATTTTTTAAGAAGTGAAATTGAAGCCCTAGTCCCAACTTGGGGTAGCATTATGAAGAAATGATTCAACACTGCACATTAAAAAAACCCCTATTCTTTCAATAGCAAACCAGTAAAGCACATGTAGGACAATTTCTACTGAAAAATCAAATGTCTTTTTTTTTGTACAGTGTTGAAAGTTTACTGCAACTCTGATTTCTTAACACAAATGTCCTTTTTAACATAAACATTATATGTATTCAGTATTCAAGTAAAATTCCCTAACAGTTAATGACATTTAAAAAATGTGCAAAACTGCAAAACTCATCGTAATAGAATGTGTAAGGTCAAAAGGGTGGAACGGCTGACAGCTATTGGATTGAATAAGTGCATCATAAATCTTCAAAGAAAAAAACACTTACTGTAGAATCTCAAATTGAAATTTTCTGTGCAGCATTACAAAATATTTCATATTTAATGAGAAAAAAAGCTTGCAGGCAGCACATGAAGCATCCACAGCAGGTATATGATTGGAAACTAATAAGTGTAAGTTGTTGACTGATGTAGGTACTAATAGCATCTGACTTTTAGCACTGGCCTTGATTACACAGGAGATGGAGCAGTCATTACAACTGAGAAAACATATTTAATAAATCATTGTCAATTTTTACGTTTCAAGCCCATTCTTTGTTGATAGCCTCCACATTTATATGGTTAAGTCATTGTTGCTGTGTTTCTTATGACATTTTTATATACCTTCATTTGTGGATCTTAAGATGTTGCATAAGGTTCATTCCTGTACCCCAATACAGATTCACTTCCTTTAGCTGCCTTTTCTAGCACCAATATGCTTTTTAAAAAATGCGCAAACAACAAGCAGTGACAGCGGCCAATTCCTTGAATGTCCAGATTAATAACTGTAGTATGCTAAAGAAAGGTGTGTGTCAATAGCTGGAGATGGTATATGGTCCAGAGTCCAGCATAAAATGTATTTCCTTTCTGAGCATTCCCTCCAATCTCCTAACCTGAATACATGCATTAGAATGTAGCAAAACCCTTTGGAAACTTCTCTTAGCCAACTGCAAACTTATCTGTTGCCACAAGTGCAAAGGGGTAGGATGTGAACCAGTATATCACAAAGCTCTTTAGCCACTTCAGTTGGTGACAGAACACAAAAGGAAAAAATTCCTACGTATACACATCAGTCTGTCTCCACTTTTTATAAAACTGGAATAAAATGGGAAAGTGCCATTTTTATTAATTCTAATTGAATTTTAAATGTCCTTTTGACACAAAAAGGTATATACATGACACAGCTACACAACCTTTTTTCAACTGGACAACAAGTTGTCAAAACCCTGTGGATGTATAGGGTAAAACAAGATTGGTCAGGAAGAGAATTGTTCCTATAACTGGTAATCTGACACAATGTCCTATTGCCATTAAAAAAAAAAAAAAAAGGTCCATTTTCAGTTTATTCAAGTTTGTTTTCATGGTGTTTTATCCCTCTTGATAAAAAAAAATTCAGACTTTTGTAATTTGTGTATGCTGATCTTCATCAAAAGGTTCATTCTCTGGATCAGAGTCAGTGGTGTCAGAATATCTATAATGATCAGGTTCATTGTCACTAACATCTGGTGTTACAGAAGTTGAACTGCTAGCCTCTGGATTTGACGGCTCCTCTACTGTTTTTGTGAAGTACAGCTTCACCTAGAGAAAGAAAATTTAAAATGAAAATCCATAAATATGACTCGTCTTAAATTATTTAGGGAAATACATTTTTAACAGATTAACTTTTAAATTCCATTTTGCAGATAAACACAATTTTTAAGCACTATAACAAACATGATCTTTAAGAGGCCTTTTAAATGATCTTCTTATTAAGATATTCAACATTTTCTTTCTTGCTAGGTACCGAAATTAACATCCTGATAAGCTATCAGGATGTTAATATTATTTATTTATTTGTTTTTAATTCTGGAAACAGGGTCTTGCTCTGTTGCCCAGGCTGGAGTACAACTGCATGATCTTGGCTCACTGCAACCTCTACCTCCTGGCTTCAGGCAATTCTCGTGCCTCAGCCTCCTGAACAGCTGGGACTACAGGTGTGAACCACCATACCCAGCTAATTTTTTGTATTTTAGTAGAGATGGGGTTTCACCATGTTGCCCACACTGGCCTCAACCTCCTAAGCTCCGGCAATCCACCTGCTTCAGCCACCAAAGTGGTACGATTACAGATGTGAGCCACTGTGCCTGGACTCAATTTATTTTTTAAGGAATATAAGTTGCAAACATTAACTAAATAATTCTACAAAACAAATGAAGATTGAAAGCTATCAATAGTTTATATAATATAGCCTTTCAGTTATAAAATTCAATTCACAAATGGTTAAGTTCAAAAAGAATGTTTCTCTTACTAGCTATCTAAAAATCAATTCCTTCCTTCCCTCTCTTTTTTCTTTTCCTTCCTTCCTTCCTTTCCTTCCCTTTTTTTTTTTTTTTTCTTTTCTCTTTTCTTTCTTTTTCTCTTTCTTTCTTTTGAGACAGGGTCTTGCTCTGTCACCCAGGCTAGAATGCAGTGGCACCTTCACAGCTCACTGCAGCCTCAAACTCCCAGGCTCAAGTAACCCTCCCATCTCAGCCTCCCAAGTACCTGGGACTATGGGTGCATGCCATCACCCCCAGCTAGTTTACTTTTTGTATTTTTTTGTAAGGACAGAGTTTCACCATGTTACCCAGGCTGGTCTCAAACTCCTTAGTTCAGGTGATCTGCCTGCTTTGGCCTCGCAGTGTTGGGATTTTAGGCGTGACCAACTGTGCTGACTTCAATGTATTTTTTGATATAAACAACACTACACAAACACAAACTACTGATCAACACTGATATTTAGAATTCATGAGCCCTAAAAACTTCACCTAAAGGGAGGAAGGAGAGGGACAGTAACCTCATAAAGTGGTCTAAACAGAGCCAAGGGCTTTTACATGCATAGTGAAAATAACTGCCAAAATAACCCCACATGTTAGGTATTTCTGTTTTCAAGGAGAGATAGCTAAGGCCCAGAAAGGTTAGGGAACTTGTTAAAGGCCACATATCTATAAATAGTAGGTAGTGGATTTGAGATGTAAATCAGATCTGACTTCAAATCCCTTCTTCATTATATTGTATTGACAGCCCCTCCCCTATTATACAAGAGTCATTATCAATTCTTCTCTTACAACCAACATCCACTCCATCAGTAAATCCTTTTAGTTAATCTGACAGCTTCTTGTTACCTTTCATTGCCACTATTCAAAGCAGCGAGGGGCAACAAGAAGAAAACATCATCTCTCACCTTTACTAAACTATTCAAGTGTCTCAACTATCTCTCAGCTTTCATAATAATGAAATCACTCATCTGTACTTTGAAAGCATGAACACAGGGAATATTAAACACAAAATTCAGATTATATCCTTCCTATGCTGAACACACACAAGTATCTTTAGACGTGGACTAGTTTTCTTGTCTACTCTGTTTTAGTCAAAATGACTTATCCACTTTTCAAATATACCAAGCTCATTCTTGCCTAAAGGCTTTTGCATCTCTACTCTTCCCTCTTTTCCCAGATATCTGCATAACTCGCTCATATGATTTAGGCTCTGCTTAAATATTATCTGCTTGGTTGGGCCTTCTCTAATCACCCTAGATAAAAATAAAAAAACACACACAAACCAAGATTACTCTATTCTGTCTCTATTTTTATAGCACTTACCACTATATGACATTGTATTTGTTTACTAATAAGAGTTTTTATTTGTAATCACAAATATAAAACATCTTGCAATATTAAAACAGAAAACAAACTAGAAGGAAAAGACAGTTTAAAGGTTAATGGTTGAGCAAAATGCAGATTTAGAGAAAACAAAGGAAACCTGTAGATTTTAAAGAGAATGTCTATCGTGGAGGAAATGATGTTAAGTAAAATCAGTCAGGTACAGAAAGATAAATACTGCATGTTCTCACTCATATATGGGAGCTCAAAAAGTTGAGCTCATAGGAGTATGGTTATTAGAAGCTTGGAAGGGAGGGAGAGGGGAGGATAGGAAGACGTTGGTTAAAAGATACAAAATTACAGATAGGAGGAATAAATTATAGTGTTCTACAGAACTGTAACTAGTCAACAATAATTTATTGTATATTTTCAAATAGCTAGAAGATAGAATTTTGAATGTTCCCAACACAAAGAAATGACAAATGTTTGAGGTGATCCATATGCTAATTACCCTGATTTGATCATCACACACTGCATACATAAAAATATCACTCTGTATCCCATAAACATGTACAATTATTATATATTAAAATTATTTTTAAAAAGGGAAACTTCTCAACACTTAGAAGAAATTTAAGAGCTAAAGGCATTTAATATTAGATCCATTTTCACTTAAAACATGTAGGGGCCCCATTATTGTTTTTTAAGTATTACTATTAAAATTGCTAGTAATAGCAATTTTTAAAAAAATTACTAGTAATAGCAATTTGTTAGTAATAGCAATTTTTTATGTATTACTATAAAAATTGCTAGTAATAGCACATTTTTTTGGGGGGGCGGGAGACAGAGTCTCACTCTGTCACCCAGGCTGACGTGCAGGGGCATGATCTCAGCTCACTGCAACCTCTGCCTCCCAGGCTCAGGTGACTCTCATGCCTCAGCCTCCCAAGTAGCTGTGATTACAGGTGTGGGACACCACACCCAGCTAAGGTTTGTGTTTTTAGTACAGACAGGGTTTCACCATACTGGCCTTTTAAACTCTTGGCCTCAAGTGATCCACCCGCCTCAGCCTCCCAAAGTGCTAGGATTACAGGCAAAATATTACTAGCAATATTCTTTTTTTTTTTTTTTGAGACTGAGTTTCGCTCTTGTTACCCAGGCTGGAGTGCAATGGCACGATCTCGGCTCACCGCAACCTCCGCCTCCTGGGTTCAAGCAATTCTCCTGCCACAGATTCCTGAGTAGCTGGGATTACAGGCAAGCGCCACCATGCCCAGCTAATCTTTTGTATTTTTTAGTAGAGGCGGGGTTTCACCATGTTGACCAGGATGGTCTCGATCTCTCGACCTCGTGATCCACCCGCCTCGGCCTCCCAAAGTGCTGGGATTACAGGCTTGAGCCACCGCGCCCGGCCCTACTAGCAATATTCTTAATACTCAGAAGCTATAGTTAGATTTGTTAGATGTTATAAAAACTGGATGAAAAATTAAGAGAGAGTAAAAAAGAGAAAGAAAAGGGTATGGTGAATGGACAGGGGGAAATCAGGTAGAATAAGAAATAGGAAAGCGGAAGAAAAAAATGGCCAATAACCATTTGGGAATGTTTTACAAATCAGAGTTTTTTAATTTGAAGAATTCTTATCTATAAGTAGATATGTATACCTATGTACAAATATACATATCACATATAGACAAAAATGAGACAAATCAAATAATTCTAAGACACAAAATAAGGAAATAGAATATTTAAAGAAGCATAACAGGGGAGGACAATCAGAGGCCTTCAGAGAATATGAGATTGAAGCTAAGGCTGGAAACATGAAGATAGCTATGCGAAGGTCAGGGAAAAGGCTGGGACAGAAAGGTCCAGGGAGAAGGAAAAGAACTGGAAAGATTAGAGGCAGAAGTTAGCATTTTGAAGAACTGAAGAGAGACCAGTATGTCTGAATCTCAAGAAGCAAGGAGAGAAGGTGACTAGGGCTGATGTAGGAGGTAGGCCTGTGCTAAATTATGCTGGTTCTTGTAGGTCATGGTAAAAAAACAAAAAACACAAGGTCTTTATAAAGTGAAAACAGAAGTGACATAATTAAGTCTACTTTTAAGGCCACTTATAGGGGTTGAGAATAAATTGGAAGGGAGACAGGAGTGGAAGCAGTAAAAACTTCCATATGAATCATTCCCAAATGACTGAGTTTCCATCCATTTCTTTCCTCTTCCATTCCTACTTCATATCCCAGTCATTTAAACCCCGTCCTGTACCTTTGCCTCAGATTTCACCAAACGACAACAATGAATTGGGAAAAGGAAAAATGCAGCTTTTCTGACTCTGTGTATACCACGTATTTTATTAAAAGCTTTCATGTTACTGCTACATAAACACTGCTTCTAAATAATACATAATTTAAGAACTCGTCAAGCAAGTTCTCTATCAGCTGTACACCTAGAATTAAACACGCATCACATATACACAAATCATCAACCCCTACAAAATGTTTAATTAACTGACCTTAAAATTTGGAGAAAAGTATCGGTTGGCTTTGTCTTTATTTGCTTTGTCCAGATCATTTTTTGTTAAAGTAAGTACTAGATATTCCTTGTCATTATCTGCACGTTCTATACTGCAAATGCTATCAATTTCTTGATCACACAGACTTCCATTTTCTACTTTTTCTGAGGTTTCCTCTGGTCCTGGTATGAAGAATGTATTTACCCAAAAGTGAAACATTTTGTCCTAAAAAAAAAAAAAAAAAAGAAGAAAAGAAAACAAAGAGAAAGAAAATGACATTTATTTTAATATTTTACTCTTTAAAAAAATATGTTACCTATGTTGAACATTTGCCAACAAGTCAACAAAATACACTCTCATTTGATATATTCAAAAAAGGTAAACACTAAGACTATTATATGGCAATCTGAGTTTTCTCTTGCATTTTTGTTTACATGATTTTTCGTCACTTAAATTTTAAATCAAAAATATAATCTCACAAGATCTAAGACAAATTACTTTTGTCTTAAAATTTTAAGCAAAAAACCTCTTTTTTAATCTAATACTAGCTTTAAAAATGTTTTGGTTTATGTGTACATACATATAAACAAAATTCAGATATGGATTTAATTTTTTCTGAATTTCAAATGAGCTAAATATTCCAAGGTTTACCTTAACAAAAGTTCTTGGAAGGTAAGTGCAACTTGCCTGATGATGCATGGCAAATACATGTTTATCCCTACAGCAATACAAACATGAGAGGCTCCATTGTTTTTTCGTTTTTTGTTTTGTTTTTTTTTTAGATGGAGTTTCGCTCTTATTGTCCTAGCTGCAGTGCAATAGCGCAATCTTGGCTCACTGCAACGGCTCAATCTTGGCTCACTGCAACCTCTACCTCAGGTTTCAAGCAATTCTCCTGCCTCAGCCTCCCGATTAGCTGGGATTACAGGAATGTCCCACTATGCCCAGCTAATTTTTTGTATTTTTAGTAGAGATGGGGTTTCACCATGTTAATTAACCAGGATGGTCTCGATCTCCTGACCTTGTGACCTGCCCACCTTGGCCTCCCAAAGTGCTGGGATTACAGGCATGAGCCATCTGCACAGCTTAATTTTTTATTTTTAGTAGAAACAGGGTTTTGCGCCATGTTGGCCAGGTCTCAAACTCCTGACCTCAGGTAATCCTCATGCCTCAGCCTCCCAAAGTGCTGGGATTACAGGCATGAGCCACTGCACCCAGCCAAGAAGCTCCATTTTCTTACATGACAATATATGCTTGAATACTTTAAAAATAAATATGAGGGGAAGGGAAGAGTACCACTAATTTATTTTTATGTTATAAAATGTCTGTTCTTAAAAAAATCACTTACTAATAAGATAATATCTTCTTAAAAAAAAACCACAACCAAAGTCCATCACTTTAAACCTTTATTGACCAACATAGAAATCTGGCCTGTATTAATCTTTTGGCAATTAATGACGTACAGCCTCATGGCATCTTTTCTGGTACATTAAAATGCCATTTAATCTTTTATTCTAACTTAGGCCAGGCATGGTGGCTCATGCCTGTAATCCCAACACCTGGGAAAGCCAAGGAGGGCGGATCACGAGGTCAGGAGATCAAGACCATCCTGACTAACAGAGTGAAACCCTGTCTCTACTAAAAGTACAAAAACTTAGCCGCGCATGGTGATACACACCTATAGTCCCAGCTACTCGGGAGGCTGCGGCAGGAGAATCTCTTGAACCAGGGAGGCGGAAGTTGCAGTGAGCTGAGATCATGCCACTGCCCTCCAGCCTGGGCAACAGAGCAAGACTCCATTTCAAAAAAGAAAAGAAAAGAAAAAAAAAAATTTATTCTAATTTATCTTCAAGTTCCCCTGCCCCTGAAAATAAGATCCATAAGGATCTTATGTCTTAAATTTCATCATCCTTTAATGGTACCTGGCAAAGCAATCCTGTATACAAGTCTTTACAAAATTTTTTGCTTATTTTAATTATTTTAGCAATTGTATTTTACTTAGAAGAAAATAAGCTAATAATATTTAAATAACAAAAAGGTGAATTCCATATATATGGATTATATTAAAACTTTTTATTTTAATCACAGCATATACTTAGATAAGGCAGGGAAAATCACATAAAATGGAAATTTATATAATCAAAGATAAACAAATATATCTTAAATATTTAATCTAACCTTCAATTTTGCTTGTGTTAAAGTATAGATGAATGGAAATAAGAATCAGTAAATTCCTAAAGGTATGCAGAGATAAGGATGTAGGTGCCTATTTTTGAAAGCAAAATAAAACTTACTAGTTATCTTAATTTTAAAACAGCTGCTAACACTTCCTGGATTACCAAAAAATAATTTTTCAAAGTTACTGTGATATATTTAACTTTTATTTATACAGATGATAGGAAATGAGTTTCTGGCTTAAAAAAAAAAAAAAAAAGTTGAGCATATTGTGACTTTTTTTTTTTCCAGCTACTTGGATTCTGGATAAAGAAAATATTTCTTCTAATACATCAAAGCAGCATTTAAAATTTTGCAGTAAATGAAACTTCCTCTTATTTTCTTTCAAAAGAAAAGTTAAAAATCAGAAAAACTAAATAAATCCTAGGATTGTGAATGTTTAAAGATTGGCATTATGCTATCTAGTATGTTTAACAAGATAGTAACACTACAAAGTTAGTGCTTTTTTTCATTACTACCTAAAAATGTTGCACCTGGAGTCTCACTTTAAGTATTCACATTTGATATTTTAAATGAACATAGTTGGTTTTTAAATAAGTCATTGCTTTCTGTAAATACAGACCAGTAAAATTCAAACCTCATTAACTTTCTAAACCTGCACATTTAAATATGTTTTCATTCTTTATTACTTCTTCTTCATACTGATTTCTCCCCTAGTTAAAAACTAATAAGTAAATCCAGAGAAGCTAAATAGAAAATAATCAAGTCTTAAGAAACATAAGGGAAGGCATGGTGGCTCAAGCCTATAATTCCAACACTTTGGGAGGCTGAAGCATGAGGACAGCTGGTGCCCAGGAGTTTGAGACCAGCCTGGGTAATACAGTGAGACCCTGTCCCTACAAAAATAAAAACATAAGCTGGGTGTGGTGGCACATGCTTGTAGTCTTAGCTACTTAGCCTGGGGAACAGAATGAGACCCTGTCACCAACAAAAAGAAAAAAAAAGGGGGAAAGGAAAAGAAACATAAGCCAAAATGGAGAAAAAGTGGTTTGTGTCACTAAATAAGACCACAGAACACATCTCATCTCTACCTATAGACCAAAATTTTTAAAATCTTGGTCCCATGCTAATTTCTTCTCAGTTAACAATCCTTGTTAAGGAAAATTCCTCTCACATTACAATGCTGTATGGCCTTTTCCTTCAAACAGGATTATTTATCACCAACGCCACAGTAAGCAAAGCACCTGCAGATCTAATAGAAAACAAATTGTAATTCCTTAGCTGTCAGTCATAAAATAAAACACAGCTTTTAAAATGTCCTTATTTTGGATTATTTCTCCCAATAAAAGTAAAGTACAAACCTTTTTTAGCATCTTGTTCTGTTTGTGGAAGAACTCTACTTTGATATCACCACACACAGGTAACGGCTGAGGGAACTCAAAGTACATAAACTTGTCTTCCCGTCGTGTGGGTCCTGAATTGGAGGAATATATCTTCACCTTTAGCTGGCAGACCACAAACTGAGGATCTGCATGGTTGAATACATACTAGTATCATTTCACAGGAATGTCTTTAACTGTCAAACTGTCAAAAACTATTTTAGTGATTAATATGAGCAATACACACAAAATATGGATTCTGCCTCTGTAATCTTGATCTAAAGCAAATCAATGGAAATAAATGAAATAAAAATATAAATATAAGATTTTCTCCAGTTTGAACCTTCAAAATAAGGTCTTATTACTTGTATAAAAGTCATTCTTAGTTCATGAATAGTAAGTCCCAATATTAGACTTCTAGCAGCAGAGTAACTTCAAAACTTTAAAATCATACTCAAAATCCTAATACAAATGAAAAGTTTAAGAATGAAAAACAATAAAATAATTATCTGGTACATTTGTGAACTACATCAAAAGTAACTTTTAAAACCGATATCAACAGGCAGTGTTCAGGAAAAAATTTTTAAAATAAATAAGACAGATATTCGCTATAGTATCCTGAAGTTTCTAGCGTATGACAAAGATCACAAAGGACAAATCATTACATGTTCACAAGAGAAATAGAATAAAACCTACAAAGTTATAATAAATTTCAAATTCACAAGTCTAGATATTTATTAAAAAATTGACCATTATCTATTTTACCTATAGCTCACATTTTATTTTTAAAGGTATATAATGCCACCATCATGAGAAACAGGAAGCAAGAGATTAGAAATTTCTGTAAAGAAATGCAACAGACTTCAAGTAAAAACTACAGCACAACCTTCCTTTCCTCTAAAACACCTCATTTTCATTAACGAGTATTCTGGCTTTGGCTCATGTATTTTAAATAACTGGTAAAAAATGAAGTAAAAGGTAAAATGTAATTTATCAAAATTCATCATGTTTTTACACTAGCAATTCAACCAAATGGTGGAAAAATGTGTTAAGAGAAGGACTGTATTTTATTTTTTAAATCTACTCACAAACTCATTTATACCTAATGACCTTAATGACAGAAATTAAAGACTGATGAATGTTAAAATCCTAGGACTTGGAAAACTTAAAGTTACCTAATAATTTGACAAAGTATTAATTCATTTGTCATACACTGAGAAATTAGAAAACAAAAGTCCATTACAAAGGAATGTATTAACCTTAAGAGGTTAAGAAGTGTCATTTGGGCCGGGCGCGGTGGCTCAAGCCTGTAATCCCAGCACTTTGGGAGGCCGAGGCGGGTGGATCACAAGGTCAAGAGATCGAGACCATCCTGGTCAACATGGTGAAACCCCGTCTCTACTAATGATGCAAAAAATTAGCTGAGCATGGTGGCGCGTGCCTGTAATCCCAGCTACTCCGGAGGCTGAGGTAGGAGAATTGCCTGAACCCAGGAGGCGGAGGTTGCGGTGAGCCGAGATCGCGCCATTGCACTCCAGCCTGGGTAACAAGAGCGAAACTCCGTCTCAAAAAAAAAAAAAAAAAAAAAAAAAAAAAAGTGTCATTTGAAGAAAACATGCCAAGATAATTAAGAGAAACAGAAACACAAGCTTATATAAAGTATATGAGAACTATTATATATAACAAACAAAATTCTCAGCCAAAGATAAACAGAAATCTTTTATTTTTATCAATGTGACTGAGAACAAGGCAAAAGCTAAACCAGGTAAAATGAAATTTCCAGTTTAGTGAATAACTACTACTTCTATGTAGTATCCAAAGCAGTATCAGTAATCACATAATTAGTATGTTTGACAAAAACATGCAGGTTATTCTAATATGGTCTTCTAAGACACTTATTATTTGAAAAAGCTACCACAAACAGGAGATCTATTATACCAACAATGTATCAATAAATTTTACTTCCTTGACTCAAGGTTCAAAGTGCAATGAGCCATTTCATAAGATTTTATGTGATACTGAAAATTTCACTGGGAAATCTAACTTGAAGCAGCAAATAACAAGGTAGGATTCCAAAGTTGTGATAAAATTAAACAGAATAAAATCGCAAAAATGTCTTGTTATCTTTTAAATTTAAACTCCATTAATTCAGAATCTGGTAATCCTGATTTTAAGACTTTAAAAAGGAAATTCACAGTATTTCCAGGTTTCAATTAAACATCTAAAATGTACATGTCCAAAAATTTTAGTACTGCATAAATAATTTATAAGTAGTAAAGGTTTTTCTCAAATCACTAAAGAAAATAATCTTCTCTGCAATATGAATATTATGTTTCAGATAGATAAGACCTAACTAAGCAAAAGTCCAATATTAATGTAGAAATCTGTGGATTTCTACAATACATATCCTCAGATATGACTAAGTTCCAAAAATAAATAACAAGGTCCAGATCTAGTGATATAGTTTGGGTATCTTTCCCTCCCAAATTTCATGTTGAATTGTAATTCCCAATGCTAGAGGTGGGGCCTGGTGGAAGGTGCTTAAATCATGGGGGCAGATTCCACATGAATGGCTTGGGTCATCCTCTTGGTGATAAATGAGCTGGCATTTAAAAGTGTGTGGCACCTTCCCCCCACTTCTCTTTCTCTTTCATGCTCCCATTTTCACCATGCTCCCCTTTTGCCTTCAGGCATGATGAGAGACTTCCTGAGACCTCCCCAGAAGCAGATGCTGTACAGATTTCTGTACAGCCCACAGAATTGTGAGCCAATTAAAGAAGAATATTAATATTCAGTCCCAGATATTTCCTTATAGCAATGCAAAAACAGCCTAATATACCCAGTAACGAAAATCAGTAGCTGGGCATGGTGGCATGCACCTGTAATCCCAGCTACTCGGGAGGCTGATGCAGGAGAATCTCTGGAACCCAGAAGGCAGAGGCTGCAGTGAGCCGAGATTGCACCACTGGCCTCCAGCCTGGGCAACAGAGCAAGACTCTGGCTCAAAATAAAGTAAAATAAAATAAAAAATAAGGATGGAAAGAATGGAATGATAGATAATTGGAGACCTGAAAGGGTGAGGAGATAGATGATGAGAAATTACTTAATGGGTACAATGTATATTATTCAGAGGATGGATACCCTAACGGCCCTGACTTGACCACTGTACAGTCTACACATGTAACAAAATTACACTTGGGTCCCTAAGTTTATATGAGTAAAACAATGGATATATACATATTGTTATATTCTTGAATAAAAACCACATTGATCATTTTATTAATATTTTTAATCCTTTCTATCACTTAGAAATATTAAGACAAAAATCAAGTAAGAAAAAGCTGCTAATCCCTACAGAAAATACTGTATTTCAGCACTACCTCTGTTTTCTTCACTAATTTCTCCTCTTCTTCCTAAACTCAAATTGCCATTCTTTTTTTTTTTTTTTTTTTTTTTTTTTTTTTTTTTTTAAGAGATGGGGTTTCACCATGTTGGCCAGGATGGTCTTGATCTCCTGATCGTGTAATCCACCCACTTTGGCCTCCCAAAGTGCTAAGATTACAGGTGTGAGCCACCGCGCCTGGCCAAGTTGCCATTCTTAACTTAGTCCTCACCCTCTCCTTTCTTTCCTTTCCTCCAAGGCTTCCCATCCCCAAATGCCACACCATTATTTATATGAAAGGCTTAACTACTCTCTCTTTCCTGATGCTGCCCAAAATATTGATATTATCTCCTACCTAGATTCGAACCCATACTCCGAAGTACCCACTTAATATTTTCATGTGAGAATCTCACTTTTAGCAGATTTAAAACACGTTTAAAACCAAAATATCAACATTAATGTCTTCAAGTCTCAGATTCACTTTTCTTTCTTTCTGTGAATATTTCACCTGACTGGGATTAAAACTTTTACAAAATCTTTGGCTAGAAATGGCAAATGAAAAACTAATGAAATCCCATTTGATTGTCCTAGCATACCTGCATTAAGGCGAGGTGTATTACTGGTTTCCTTTCCACTATTTTTTCCCCTTGCAATTATAACTTTACATACAACTGTCCTTACAACATGGTTTAAGCCTCAAGTATTATCATGACATCTCAGCGTTTATCAAATCAAGTCTGTTATCCCCACTCAGGATCCTTTAACTGTCAGTCACACATTCCATTTCTAGTCTATCTTTCATCACTACATTCTTGTCCAGCTAATTTCCTTCTGCTGCACTTCAATTCAAGCTCTTTCCCATTGCCTATAATACTTCTTTCAGTTTTGTTTTGTTTTTTTGAGACAGAGTCTCCCTCTTGTCACCCAGGCTAGAGTGCAGTGACACAATCTCGCCTCACTGCAACCTCCGCCTTCCAGGTTCCAGCGATTCTCTTGCCTCGGCCTCCCAGGTAGCTGGGACTACAGGTACACACCATCATGACTAATTTTTGTATTTTTAATGGAGACAAGGTTTCACCATGTTGGCCAGGCTGGTCTCGAACTCCTGAACCTCAGATGATCCATTTACCTTGGCCTCCCAAAGTACTAGGATTACAGGCATGAGCCACTGCATCAAGCCACTTCTTTTAGTTTTAATGCCAGTTGAAAACTGTATGCTTTCTCTAACGTTCATTAAAGAGCTGGTGAACTTCCTTTAAGAAACTGACAACCTCCAAACGTTTTCTGAATGCAGCATTTATAATTTATACACACAACCTCCTATTTATTATTTATTTATTTATTATTCTAACACAAAGTCTCGCTCTGATGCCCAGGCTGGAGTGCAGTGGCACGATCTCGGCTCACTGCAACCTCTGTGCTCTGGATTCAAGTGATTCTTCTACCGCAGCCTCCCAAGTAGCTGGGACTACAGGCGCACACCACCATGCCTGGCTAATTTTTGTATTTTTAGTAGAGATGGGGTTTTACCATGTTGCCCAGGCTGATCTGGAACTCTCGAAATCAAGAGCGGCCTCCCCAAGTGCTGGGATTACAGGCGTGAGCAACTGTGCCTAGCCTCACAACCTCCCATTTAATTATATAACTCATATTTTATTAAATCTTTACTACATTATTAAATCACAGAACATAAGGAGAAACTAGAAAATTAGGAAAGATGACTAAAGTGAATGTTTTCTCTCTCTTAATAACTCCATGATACTTTATACCTTTCTCTCGGCTCTTACTCTAAAATCAATATTATAGGAAGAGCATGAGTTTTTTTCTTCCTTTTTCCTTCTCTATGAATCAGTTACATTCCTTTGTCAGTCACTTCCAACAGCCCAGTACCTTAAATTTAGCAGTTTAAAAAACTGTACTGAGATGAAAAGAGCATCAATGAGACTCTTTAGAAGGCTTTAACAGGCTATACTAATAAATCTGTGATCTCTGATAAAATTATCTGTCTCTAAGAATACAGAAACATTCTCACAATGATGATCACACCTATCTGACAAAGATAAACAACACTGGAGAGGTAGAATAGGATCAGGATGACTGAGGTAGACTTACAGAGGTTAGGGTAAAAGGGAGAAATAAACTAGAGGCAGACATCAATGACATAATCTGTACTTAGTACTTATCTAGGAAGTTTCAGATTTCAAAGTCTCTTCGTTTTACTGACAAGCAAACTCAAAGAGAGGTAGATGATGTGCCCAGGGTTACACAGTAGATTAATGACAGATCTAGGACTGGAATCCAGATCTAAATCCAGGTATTCTCTAACATTCCACGTACTTTGATTCCTATTCTTTCCTTATTATACTTCAGCTTGCTGCCATGTCTCATCACTTCTTCCTTTCCTTTTCTGTCACTATTATTGTCAATATCTAGTCTTCCTAAGATATTGAGGAATTGATCTCTGCCCTAAGACAAGCAAATTGCTGAATCCCTCTGCTACCCTCATGCTGGACCTCTGATGGGACAGGTTTTTCAGTCAGCTGGTCAGATGTGGGTTGTATCTGGTGGTTATAGCACAGAATATTTCTGTCATAAATATAATTTGGCTTCGATTACATTAAAAACCATTGCCCTTGGCTTCTTTAGGCCAATGAATTGAACAACCAAGCTAATTAATTTGTTCAAATGCTTCAGAAATATAGTCTCCTGCATAAATTTTAAATGTGGTAAATTTATTTCTAAATTTTTATATAAACTTCTGGATATGATAAGAAAATTGTTCCAATACATGGAAGGATGAGAATTTAGAGCACTTACTGCAAGTTCCGCCACTGAACATTGGAATAGTTTCAAACATCATCTTGTGAAACAACAGTGCCACTGGTCTATAATCCAGATGATTCTTTAACAGGTAGCTATAATAATACACATAGCGCCTCTGACTGGGAATAGTTACTCCCTGGTGGACAGAAAAAAAAAAGAGAAGCCAAATTCAAAAAAGTGTTCCATTATAGTTATTTCACTAAATTGCTATGGTAACTGGGTTGTAGCCATTGAAGAACAAATATACATTAGAAATTTGACCTTAAACGATTAACACTTAAATCCAGCTGAATAATAAATTAGAGCAATGTTAATACGAAGGATAATATCAGAATTACTCTTCTCCCTTAAAACAATTATCATAATAACCCATTTATTCAAAGGTCACAACAGCGCTCTGACCCATGAACCCCATAGGCAAAGGCCACTGAATATGCAAAATGTGTCAAAGGCCTCTGCCCTACAGCTATACGTTTTATACCTAGTATTCCTCATAAAGATTTATGGACTCCTTAAACACACAGTTCCTTACAAACTTGAATACCTGCTTTCCAGGAGAAAGCATATCAGAATCAGCAAACTAGATCGAGGCATATTGCCTTTAGGAGGCAGAAACAGCAGTAGCAAAAAGTAATGCTGGCCGTAGAGCCCAGCAAAAACAGGAGTATGTAGTTGATGTAAATGTGTGCAATAATCCTCCAACAGAGGTAAAGCTATCCCTGTACCTCTTTGTTGAAGAAACCAGGGAAAAACAAAATGTTTCTAAAAATATAAGTATTACAAATGATTACTCAAGAGTTTACTAAAAAATAAAACATAAGGCCGGGCGCGGTGGCTCAAGCCTGTAATCCCAGCACTTTGGGAGGCCGAGGCGGGTGGATCACGAGGTCGAGAGATCGAGACCATCCTGGTCAACATGGTGAAACCCCGTCTCTACTACAAATACAAAAAAACTAGCTGGGCGTGGTGGCGCGTGCCTGTAATCCCAGCTACTCAGGAGGCTGAGGCAGGAGAATTGCCTGAGCCCAGGAGGCGGAGGTTGCGGTGAGCCGAGATTGCGCCATTGCACTCCAGCCTGGGTATCAAGAGCGAAACTCCGTCTCAAAAAAATAAAAAATAAAAAAAAAATAAATATATATATATAATATACATGGCATTTAATAGGGGAAACTGAGTTACCTAAAGAGAAAAATCTAATATGTACAACAATGCATTCACTGATCCTGAATAAATGAGGCATTTAGGGGGTTTTCTATTAGACATGTGACTTAAGAAAAATTCAACCTAGAAATATAAGGCAAATAATAAACAACATTAAGAAGTTTAACTGTGCAAAGCAACTTACAGAAAACTACTTTAAATGAAAGCATACTCAAGAGGAAAAATAATTTGCAATTATTTCTCTTTAAGTTACTACTGGCACCTAGGTCTCCCCATTGTGTTAGAAATTCTGGACACAAATATCCTTCTTCTTCCTAATGAAAAGTATAAAGCATATTTTAAAATGGGCCAGGCGCAGTGGCTCACACCTGTAATCCCAGCACTTGGGGAGGTCGAGGCTTGCTGATCACTTGAGGTCAGGAGTTCAAGACCAGCCTGGCCAACATGGTGAAACCCCATCTTTACCAAAAATACAAAAAAATAACTGGGTGTGGTGGTGTGCACCTGTAGTCCCAGCTACTTGGGAGGCTGAGGCACAAGAATCACTTGAGCCTGGGAGACAGAGGTTGCAATGAGCAGAGATTGCACCACTGCCCTTTAGCCTGGAAGACAGAAAGAGACTCTGTCTGGAAAAACAAACAAACAAAAAACCAGGTACATCGAATAGCAAGTATGTAGGTATCTACTGCAGTATTTCTAGTATCTTTTCAAAGATGAGCATGATTTTATTATAGACAATTTAAAAACATGCATATGTGTATATGTGTAGAAATGTCTAAAAAATAGGTATAAACCATTTCAAACCATGACAAATGATTTAAGATTTTGGCCACAGTGTAAAGACCATATATTTTATAATCAAAAGACTTAATTTGAATGCTGACAGTCAAAATACAAACTCTTATATGTTTTTGAAAGAAAACAAGGACAATAATATGTACTCTTCCTTCTTAATAAGATTTCTATGAGGATCAAACATCAGATGCAGTTACACAAAAGCATACTAAAACTATAAAATGGTGCAGAGTTTTAGCAATTCTGTACCTGTTTAAGGTACAGTTTTGGAATAGCTGGAATTTTATTTCTATATAATGTTCTTAACAAAACAGTAAAAGGTAAGGTAAAGTAGCAGTACTTTGAAGAGCAGTACTGCTCCTTATTAAGACATTAAAAATTATATTAAAGTTAAAAAATGTAAACTTAAAATGATTTATTATATCACATTTAATATAACTTTAGCAAACAACTGTCATTCATGTTTATTAAAATAAATATAGAATTGCTGAGTAGGTTGGCTGAGGGAAATAGCACATGGAAGATGAGTGGGAGGGGCACTTTTCTGAACCATGTGAATTTTTTAACCATATGCATTTATTATCTAGTCAAAATAATGCAAAAAAACTCAAAAAAAATTAAGTCAATCCAAGTATATGAGGAGGCCACATTATCAACTTATTCTTTGTTCTTAGTGGATAACATTTTTCTCTTTATCTCCATTTCTGGCATAGGTTTGTATGCAATAAAAAAAAGATTTCAAAGCTTTGGTATTTTTCAAGTAGTAAGTGATTAGTAGTGCACCTATAATGCAGGTGTTTATACATTCTGTTAATCCTTACCCAAAAAAAGTCTAGGTAAATATGCAAAGAAAATATACATCTACGAGTTGTTAACACTGGGTGAATAATTTATGTATAAATAAATATAGTTGAACTAAAATTACTGACAATTCTAAGAAAAACATGGAAAAGTACATTTTAAAATTTAATCAATTAGTTTACCATCAAAATTATGCATAATTAGTCTATTTCTTAACTTTGCAATTTTTATCTACCTGCTGCCTTGTCAGCACCAGAAATTCAACACTTCGAGATTAACAAAAATTAAAAAGTTGGGAGGCTCACATGTATCTGTTCCAGAGTCTCCAATGTGACCTCCTCATTCTAAGCCATGATGCAAACTCACTAAAACTGAATTAATATCTGCAATATAGGATTTCAAATGAGTGGAAAGTCCACACTGAATTAAAATTTTACAGAAGAAGCTTATACATATGAATGTATAAGGGCTGAACTTTAAAGCTCTTGGAGATTAAAAAATATGTTTTCAAATTTTTCCTTTTTTGGAGGGGGAGGGTTTGAGATGGAGTCTCACTCTCGCTCAGTCTGGAGTGCAGCAGCACAATCTCAACTCACTGCAACCTCCAACTCCCTGGTTCAAACAATTCTCCTGCCTCAGCTTCTGGAGAAGCTGGGATTACAAGCATGTGCCACTGCATCTGGCTAATTTTTAGTAGAGATGGGGCTTCACCATGTTGGCCAGGCTGGTCTTGAACTTTTAACCTCAAGTAATCTGCTCGCCTTAGCCTCCCAAAGTTCTGGGATTACAGGCATGAGCCACTGCACCTGGCCTAAAATTTTTCATTTTTTATGTAAATTAAGACTATTAAGGGCCAGTTTTATTCTCTAACCACGAACTTTTAAGTTAAATTTATCTGTAACTATATATGTAGCTGTGTGTGTATACACACACACACACACACACACATTCTTGAGGGTATAGTTCTACTTTCTACTAGTAGTATCTCTCCTTTTTCACTTTAATTGTGAAGAAAATTATTTATACAGCTAACCCTTGAACAACACAGTTTTGAAATGTGTGGGTCCATATATATATCTGGATTTTTTTCAAAATAATTTTTTCAGAGATTTGCAACAATTTGAAAAAATCTGCAGATGAAACACATAGCCTAGAAATATTAAAAAATTAAGAAAAAGTTAGGTCTATGTCATGAATACATAAAATATAAGTAGATTATCAGTCTGTTTTATCACTTACTATCATAAGATATATACATGTCTATTATAAAAAGTTAAAATGCATTAAAACATATGCATACAAACTTTTAAGACCAGACATGATGCCATGTAAACAAATGCAAAGATGTAGCATTAAATCACAGCTACATAATATTAACTGCAGTACATACTATACTACTGTTAAAATCTCATAGCTACCTTCTGTGGCTACTGAAATGAGCTCAAGGGTTGCGAGAATCTGTTTAAAGTACTGTGTGACACTAATCATCTCTGTATGAGCAGCTCATCTCTCCAGTAAATTGTATATTGCAATAAAAAGCAATCTCTCTTATGGCTCTTTGTGTATTTTTCATTGTGTTTAGTGCAACTCCGTAAACTGTAACACTCTGAGACCTGTATGAGGTGCCAATAGTGGTGATGGAAGTGCTCTCAAGAAGTAGACAAAAGTCATGACATTACAAGAATAAGTTGACTTGCTTGATATGTACAGTAGATATGTACAGCTGTAGCTGCTGGCCATTTCAGACAGATGCCTCGCCTTGTAAACAGAAGACATAATGTATGGTACCAATAAATACAGTAGAGTATTGTAAATGTATTTTCTCTTCCTTATGATTTTCTTAATACACGTTCTTCTGTCTATTTATTGTAAGAATATATATACAAAATGTGTGTTATTGACTGTTTATGTTATGGGTAAGGATTCTGGTCAACAGTGGGCTATTACTAGTTAAGTTTTTAGGGACTCAAATGTTATATGCAGATTTTCAACTGTGCAGGGGGTTGACACTCCTAGCTATCACATTATCAAACAGTCAACTGTATCCTTAACCTTTTTTGCTCAAATACAACTTTAAACACGTTCTAACTTTAGCTAAAGTTAGCATTCTTCAGGTTGACTTAGCACCACATTCCTGGCCATCATCTCAAAAGTCAGCCATTACTCTAACTCCTTTATGTTCACAGACTAGGAGGTGGACCTCAAAAGTATTCTATTTAGTGCTCCTCCTAATATTCCTTCCAGCCCTCTTTCCTATACCTTTGCCTATTTCAAACCCGTTTCACTCAATAACTCTTTGGGTATACATTTATTAAAGTCTTGACCACAATGATTTTTAGTACTTTGTTCTCCCAACCTCAATTTTTATCCTGACCAACA